TCAAAGATCTTGAAACACAGGCTAAAAATAAGCATCAAACACTAAATACCCCTTTGGCTTTACTATTTTCATTCAAACAGAGCAAACTCATCTTCCACACTGACAGCAGGAGTAGAGGAGCAGGCTTTGATCACAAGCAGCTGTAAAGACCATCCAGGCAAGGATCACTTTAGCACTTTATTTTGGTATAGCCTGTCTGTCTTGAAGTGTTCATTTCTCCTATTTCCCAAGTGTTTCAATCCAACACCTTTGCCCAGCATTACCTTCAATTCAATAAGAAGCTTTCCATGCTTTTCCACACTCTGTGTCTGGCGTAGCGTGGTGTAAACAAACCCCACGCGGATCCTGGGGCACAGCTGGCCCAGCCTAACCCCACAGCAGTGTCACAACACAGAATTGCAACACCAGGACATCCCAATCAGCCCAACTTTGCCAGGCTAACAGTGAGCAGAAGTCTCATGAAATTACACAAGATAGGAGAGCACAGGAAAGGGCACAGTGGAGCGAGTAACTGAGAGAAGCTTTTGATGTAGCAGCAAGTAAAGCTCAGATACCCAGCTGTGCTGGAATCAGCCACAGGGGTTCACTGGATTAATGTTTAAACAATGGAGGTGCAAAATAGCCTTGAAATATTAAAATATTGCCTGAAGTTAACCAAAATTTTTATATCCTCACACATTGCTTTGCATGGATTTAATTTCCTCCGTTCCTGGCTATCACTTTGTTCCATACAGGTTACCACATGGATCATTTTACCTGAATCTGAAAACTCACGGTGGCAGAATCACCACCAGAAAGCCTCCAAGCCTATTAAAATAAGGGCCAGCCTAGAAGGGCACACATCAAAGACCAGCAGAGCAATTTTGTGTGGCTTAGGAATCAAACCCTAAGAACAAACAGCAGCAGTGAGAGTGCTCTTTAGCAATACCTGCAATTGGACTCAGACCCAAAGCTTTCTGCTCTCACAGCTTAGGACCAAAGCCCACAGCCAAGCACAGAGCTCAAGTTTTGATGTCCCTCAGAAAGCCAGTGTCTCATCCCCATCATGGAAAGAGGCTTTGGTTTGTTTAAGCATAAATAAAATAGGAGCTTTTGAATTCAGCACAGTTACGCTCCTGACACAAAACTATGCTACAATAAGGTAGTGTTTGCCTGAAGGTGTCTTTACACCTCCACAGGAGACAGAGTGTCTGGGTAAAACACATATAGGGAGGCAAACTTCTACCAACCTCTTTCCTTGCTCAACTGTGTAATTAAATGAATGTTCTGGCCTCTCCTCACACAACAAACTATTGGAGAAAGTTGCAAGATGAGAAAGTCAACACAGCTGGCTCTTGGGTCACTGCTTTCAATTTTACTTAAAATTCTGGTTCTCTGTGAAATTCCCTTTCATTGCTGTTACACCTTACTCTCTACTCAAGAGAATGTGCAGAGGAACAGCAGGGACCCCACTCACCATGATGAAAATCTTAACTGGAAAACAAATCTACAAAAGTTCAGATTAGTTACACACACTTATAAAACATTTATCTTTTACTTTCCTTCCCTTTCCCAAACATTTGACACCTGACCTGCAACTTGTGAGCAAAGCTTTCCTTCAAAGTTCTGCCAGATGAATTTAAAAGAGCTTAAAGCAAACAGTATATAGAAGAAAAGAGAACCAGAAAGCCCTCAATTTTACATTACTGGAAGAGGCTGAGGCTTAAATGCCACCTTGAGACATGTGCAACAAGTGAAGCATGTCACTCCTAACTATGGCTGGTCTCACTCCATTTCCAAGGAATACTCATTTTCTGGTGCTTAGAACATCCATGACCACACAAAAAGACAGAAAGTTAATGGAAAAAAAAAAATATTTTGGGCATAAACTTCTTCAATCTAGAATCAACAGCAGATATAGCATCCTTAGCACAGAATTTACAGGTAAATACAACATAAAAATAAGTTCTGGGTTTCCAGGGCAGAAAAGAGAATAAGCATGAGAACAGGTATGCAAACTAGACAGGAAAAGGGATTTTCCCCCTTTCTCAGCTTTTGTACCTCAGCTACAGTTCCTAAAGTGATTCCACAACATTCCAACATATCTGATGCAGAATGCACCAGATAATGAACAATACAGCAATATTCAGTAAACCACTGAAGAACAGTAATTCATTTGTCTTAAAAAGCAAAGTCAGAAAGCACAGCATGCAAAACAAACTTAGATCTTCTATCCTCCAAAACATGAAACTACTAAGGATAGTGTTAAAAACCATGGAAAACAAGAAGGTGACATGCAGAAAAGACACTGAGGTGACTGAAATACCATGTATTTTCTGTTTCTATTCCTCTGGCTCTATGCACAGCTTAACATCAAATCCTGTATGGTTCAATTTAAATATACAAAGTTCTGCTTTCCAAGTGTTCATCATTAGCATCTTAGTGTGGGTGAACAGTGGAATTTGGGGCAGAGCTCAGAGGCTTTACAGTGCACTTTGCAGAGCTGTATTATGACAAAGAACCCAGCATTCTGTAAGACTCTGAGCTCCTACAGCCTTGGACAGCTGTGGGTTTTTCTACCTGTACAATTCATCTAGTGCACACTTGTTGTTTTAAAATACATTGCAAGTCCTGAAAAAAGCCTGGAAAACGCTCCAGGTCAATGCCTGTGTTTTATCACAGCTCTGTGGAGAAAAAAAACCCAAAACAAACAGTATATAAGCAATCAGTAGCAATCTTTTTTCTTCTCACATATCGCATGATTAGTCTGCTAAATCATGTCTGATCTTTACCCACCTTCCCTGTACAACACATACTCTCAAATGCAACAAGAAGTCCTTGGCACTCAAAATGAAGCAGGAAAGCCAGAGGAATACTGCATGTGAAAATACAGATTTAGGATGACTAAAGAGTAATTAATAAAAAATAGTAACTACAAGTCTAACTTTTCCTTTCATTTTACAACATACTGACAGTCACAGATGTTCCCACTAATTTCAAGAGCCAGAAAGAAAAAAGATACTGTTATTTGGAGATAATGGTGTCTCTTATTCCACCACTCTCCTCACAGATCTCGGTAAGAAGGGTGAATCATGACACACTGTATGCAAAACCAGGCATCAAAGAAAACACAAGAGTTAAGCTAATGCAATCTTTGTTAACAATTTTTAACAGGTTGATAGCTATTGCCAACATCATTTTGCTTTCAATCCGAATTTGAACTATCTGCCAGAGAACAAAACCCTAATTTTAGGCTCTTGTAATCAGTAAATTCCCCATCCCAGAAACAAGCAGTCCGTCCTGGGAAAGTGCAGTTCATAAAAGAAATGCTGACACTGCCTTAGCCAGCCCAGCACAGGAATGCTGCTGGAATGAATTAACTGTGAACAGTTGGTTCATGCACGTGCCGCAGCTGACGCTGCCCCAGCACAGCCCCATCTCAGAGCTGTGCAGCCAGGACACAGCATGGGCTGGAGGCTGGGAGGAAGCCAGTGCAGCCAGCAGCTAAACAAACTCCAGGGATGATGCTCTACGTATTGCTGGAGCTGCTCTCATTAGGATTCAAACACTAACAGGGAGCTACGCTCACCAGACAACCAGAGCACTTTAAAAATATGCTGTGGAAGAACCAAGAAAAGTTACATCTGGTGTGTGCTACTATAAACACTGTCTGCACTTAGGGCTGGAAATTGGAAGGAAACCCCTCTGCCAAGCTCCATTGGTTAATTTGTTTACTGTGTACACAAAAATAAGTTTGCTCAGGTCCTTGACCTTTTAAGTAGAGGCCTTTAAAAAGAATACAGTAGTTCTGCAAGTCAAACAGCAGTGGGCAGCTTCTGTAGTAACATGTTTTCTAGGTATCCAAAAGTCTCAGAAATCTTGTCGAGTTGGGCTTTAACAGAAACTGTAAGTAAAACAAAATCTGGAACACAGATCAAGCCATACCTGTATGCCCTACCTGTTCTCCAGCTTGTATTCAAGAAATAAACACAATCTTTTTCCTCTGCAAACCACTCACATGAGTTTTTCCTTCTCTCCAAACGTCTCCTGAATACTTTTTCTACTTCTCCTCCTCTCCCCCAAAATGATCAGGCAAATCTACACAGAAATAAATCACCAACTTTACTTCCAGCAGTTCAATTTTCACTTAATTTTTTGGTGATAAGTGTTTTTAAACCAACTTTGCACAATCTGTTTGTACTTAATTTTCACTCCTAATTGACACAACCAATCCTTAAAAATTACCTACTGGGGACATTTTAACTGAAAGAAACACTTCCTTGACAGCAAGAAGAATAAAACCCGCAAAAACCATCGAAGTTACAGTACATGAACCAAATAAAGATGCCTGCACGCAAAGAAATGCCACACTTTAGGAGCCACCTGGAAGCGACAGGCAACAACCGACTCCCCGCGACACGAAGAAGGAAAGCGGGTGGCCGGCCGGTCCCCCCGCGTCAGTCCCGCACCGCCGGGATGGGACGCGGGGGAAAGCCGGCGGCTCCGGGCCGCGCCCGGCGGGGTCCCGGGGACACGGACACGGACACGGACACGGACACGGACGCGGCTCGAGGCGGGTCGTCCCTGGCCCCTGCAGCCGCAGCTGGGGAGCTGGGGAGGACGGGCCCGGCCTGGCGCCCCTCGCCTGCCCCAGGACTCGGCCCGGCCCTGCGAGACCTGCGGCGGTCTCACAACCCCGCTGCCGCCGAGGCCGCGGCCCTTGCGGGCAGATGGGACGGGAGGCACCGCAGCGGGTGGGAGACACGGCCCCGGGGACGAGGGAGGGACCCCGCGGTAGCGGAACGCAGGACGGCCCCCAGCTCCCGCACACCGGGAGGGAGCGGCGGCGGGGCAGCGCCGCCGGAGCGCAGCGGGGACGGGGCGGACGCGCCCCCGCGGCAGCGCGAACCGCACCTACCCCGGCCGCCGCCGCCGCCGCCGCCGCTCCCGGTGCCGGGCCTGGGCCGCCGCCGCCCCACGTGACCGGGCGGAGGGGCGGCCCCGCCGGTCCTTCCGGGCGCGGCTCTTCCGGCGGGCGGACAATGCGGTTCCGAGTCGCGGTGCTGGGCTGCGGTGGCGCCTGTAGGTCCCGGCGCGCCGGCGGGGCGCGGGCGGCGGCCCCGGAGCGCGGCGCGGAGCGGCCCGCGGCTCCCGCTGCCCCCGCGGGCCGCGCTCGGAGGGCGGCCCGGCCCGGCCGGGGGCGCGGCGGGGCGCGGGGCCGCCCGGGGGGCGCGGCGGGCGGCCGGGCCCGGCCCGGCGCTGGGGCGGCGGCTCACGGCGGGTCTCCTCCCCTCTCTAGGTCCGTAGCCGGAGGCAGGAGCGGCCGCGGGTGCCAGCGCGGGGACGCGGCCCGACGCTACAGGTACCTGCTCCTTCCCTCCCTCCCGCGGGGCCGGGCCTGGCGCGGACAGCGGCTTCCCCCGCTCTCGCAAAGGGCATTGCGTTTACATTGTTGTGGGATGCTGCGCGGGCTCCCGGCTGAGCTCTGCTGGAACGTTCTTTTCCCGGCTCCCGGGAAATAGATGTGAGGGGCCGGGGCGATCCGCGGTCGGTAAAGGCCGAGGAAGCACGTGCTTCCAGCGGGGAGCCCTGCACGTCCGACGGGAGCTTGCCTTGGTCTGCCCCGCTCCCGGGATAGCGTGTTTGGGATTCATTTAATGCTCTTTTCTCTTGGACATCAGTAGTAGTAGCAACTGAATGCCTGCCAAGGCAAATCGCAACTTTTCGATACACAGTTTCTCACGAAGTGGCTCTTGTAGTCTGCCAGAGACAGGCTGGAGTGGCTGGAATAGCTGTGGTTAACAGCACAATGTCACTTTAGCATGGGTGCTTTAACTGCATTCATATTGTATAAATTTCCAGGCTGGAAAAAACAGACTCACAACTGGACTTCCCTCATCCTTGTCCAGAGAAAACACAAAAAGAACCAGTTTGATAATGCCTAAAGTTCACTGAAGATATATCAGGATGATCTGTTACTATCGTTTATATTTGCCAAAGGCTGTTGCCTCTTACAATTAAACTTTCAGCCCTATAAACAGGGTCAGTCAGGCAGTGCTGAAGGTGGCTGAGAAGCTGGGTTTTGCAGATTCAGTAGAACCAGTTGTACTGCAGAACGATGCCACCCCCTTGCTTCCAAACTGTCCCTGGTTTTTGAAGTCTTCTGAAATCCTTCCCTAATTTTTGCATGCCATACACTGGAAGATATGCTTGATGGGTGTGATTAATGAGGAGGTCGTGTGTCCAAATGCTGTGTAAGCTGCAAACTGAAAAAAGCCCTGATTATTGACAGATGCTTCCAAAAATATTCTTTGAATAGTTGTCTTGTGTGGGCACAATGCCATTCCTGTGTGTACACCCAGCTGACACTTCATGCCCCAAGAGAGCAGTATCTGCTTTTATCTATAAACTTCAAAGCTTCCTTTCGAGCTTTATGTGGTGTTTGTAATAATTGGGAGGTGTAAGTTTTTCTTTGTTTTGTAATTTTATCTAACCAAATCTTGCATCATTTAGTCTCCTGTTATTTCTTCACTTCCTGCAATCCTAGTGCTTTGGCAGGATTGTATGAGCAATGTTTCATCCAGAATCAGTGTAGTCTTATAAATTCTTAAAGCAACTGTTGAAAAACAAAGTAACGGTACTTGGTTTATGGAAGATCCACTGTTCTTCATTCCAAGTCCTATCAAAACAAGAACAAACTTCCTAGAGAAGTGATCTTCCAAAGGGCAAGACTAGACACAAGGCTTACTTTATTTCCCAGGTATTCAAAACACGGAGCCTAGCAGAGGCCATTGTGAAGACTTTTTTCTGTAATCTCAGGAAAAGCCAAAACAACACAAAACAAACCAACTCCTTCAGAAGAACTTGAAAGACAATCTAATGTGATAAACCCAGTGCTGCAAAACCCAAAGCTTGCTTAAAACACAGTTTCCCTTTACACCCTACCTCTTTAGGATATTGCTTCAGGAGAATTTTTGTCATAGCACCTCTACTTAATATTCAGGCTTCATTACATTAAAAAAAGGTAAAAGTAATTGTAATGTGAGATGTAAACTTGAATTTGTTCTTACTTGTAATGGACTTCAGTGTATTCCTAGGATAAGAAATATAACGGCTGATAAACTCCCACATTATATATTATTACTTGAAATCTTTCTAACTTACTTTTTAGAAAACCAAAAGTACTCATTGTTTGGTTTTGTCTCTGGTGCTTTTCCTTAGGTGTGCAAAAATGTCAGAAAGATCAGATATTCTTCATTTCAAGTTTGACAACTATGGAGATTCAATGTTACAGAAGATGAACAAACTGAGGGAAGAAAACAAGTTTTGTGATGTCGTGGTCCATATAGATAATGTTGAAGTTCATGGGCATAAAATTGTGTTTGCTGCTGGCTCTCCTTTTTTAAGAGATCAGTTCTTGCTGAACGACTCCAGAGATGTAAAAATCTCCATCCTGCAGAGTTCAGAAGTGGGGAGACAGCTGCTTCTCTCCTGCTACAGTGGCACTCTGGAGTTCCCTGAAATGGAACTGGTGAACTACCTGACTGCCGCGAGCTTTCTGCAGATGAGCCACATCGTGGAACGGTGCACTCAGGCCCTGTGGAAGTTCATCAAACCCAAGCAACCGCTGGAGAGCAAAGAGTGCGAACAGCAAAGCGACTCTTCAGAGCTGAAGGAACATCAGGGAGATGATGACTCTCTGCAGCAAGACTCGCCTTGTATTCAGCCTTCAGAAGACAGCATGGACATGGAGGATAGTGATATTCAGATCATCAAGGTGGAGTCCATCGGGGAGGTAACAGAAGTTAGGAATAAGAAGGATCAGAATCAGTTTATTTCTTCTGAACAAACTACACTGCATTCCTCAGAGCCTCAACACTTTCTTATCAACTCCACTGTTGAGAACAGAGCAAGTGAAATAGAGCAAAACCACCTCCACAACTATGCCCTTTCATATGCCGGCAGCGATAACATCATTCTGGCCTCTAAAGATATGTTTGGGCCTAACAACCGAGGGATAGACAAAGGCCTCCAGTGGCACCATCAGTGCCCAAAGTGCACAAGAGTATTTCGGCATCTGGAAAACTATGCTAACCACTTAAAGATGCATAAACTATTTATGTGTCTGCTCTGTGGCAAGACATTCACTCAGAAGGGCAATCTCCACCGGCACATGAGAGTGCACGCAGGCATCAAACCATTCCAATGTAAGATCTGTGGGAAAACGTTCTCTCAGAAATGTTCCTTACAGGACCACCTCAACCTGCACAGTGGGGACAAGCCCCACAAGTGTAACTACTGTGACATGGTCTTTGCGCATAAGCCCGTTCTGAGGAAACACCTTAAACAGCTGCACGGTAAAAATAGCTTTGACAATGCCAATGAAAGAAACGTGCAAGACATAACAGTGGACTTCGATTCATTCACATGTAGCGCTGCTACAGACAGTAAGGTCTGTCAGCAGGCTGATGCCAGCCAGGTACTGGATGCAGGGAAGCTGCCTCAGGCTGTGCTTGGTTTAAGAAACGATAGTACCTGCGTCAATTAAGCAATTAAAACTCTTCCTGTGTAGGGATCGTGACTGAGAGGAGCAAACCGTTGGTTTGGCTTCTTCCCTAAACTAGTGGTGTGCCCTGAAAGGCTACAGATGGTTGGATTGCAAAACCTGGCAGGTCTTCAGCCATCGCTCTTAGTCTTACTTGATATTTTCTGTGAATAGCAATCCTCCTTCAGGTTTCTGTCTGTCTCTACTGTGGATTAAGGGGTTAATTGTTTCATTTCTCTCTGATTAGGAGACTCAAGACTAACACCTTTTGAAAGACTGTTGCTGTGGGCTGCAAGTAAACCATCTGCTGTGCAGTTAGAGGCCTCTCTGTGTCTGGGCAGATGGAGGAGAGCAAAGAGGACAAGTGTGTGTGAGATAACCCAATATTTTTTTTCAAAAAGCACTGGATAACTGAAAACACTCCATCTACTCAAATTTAAACTTACCTCTTAAAATTACCTTTCTCTGATCTTACCCCTAGACTCCTGCAGTTGAAATGAAGTATTTTTGTGTCACTTTTTTGCCCTTTCTAAACCTATTTCAAGAAACTTCTGCTGCCAATCAATGCTCTCTTAAAAACTCTCAGGGTTTTTAACCTCAACATGCATTATGAAAAGATGAAACCCTAAATGATTTGGCAGGGTTAGCTGATCATTGCATAGAGCTGTTCAAACTGAGGATAAATTGCAGCTCTGGAATGTGAGAGGCTGGTCCTGGAGTGCAAATGTGACCTGTTCTTACGCTGACATACCTGGGATTTTTAAAGGGCACTTACCAGTGCATGTACTGAGACAAGCTAAACACTTCAAAGCTAAAAGTTATCCTCCATCTTCTGTAAGTTTTGCATCACAAACCACAACAGCTGTTGGGTTTAGAGCAAAGCTGGAGTGGAGAAATACTGCTTTTTGACACTGTGAAAAGAATCTTTTTAAAGCTGCAATGGGTAACAACTCCATGATTTTTTTTTTTGCTTTTTTTCCCCCCTTAGTTCTTGTATGTCTCTCCTTGATGTCTAATAAGGGCCACATGTCACTTAACTTTAAACAAAAATACCTGCTATAAGAGCTTAACATAAAGTTTTTGATTTCTTGAACTTTTTGAAGTGACCGTTAGTGTTTTACAGATCCTAGGATGAGATATAGGTAGCACAATTTCTATAAGTTAATATATCAGCTGTTGACTGTACTCAGCAATACCTCTTGTATACCGCCTTAAACATCAAATGTAGCGGGAATGGCATGTTAATTTGGATTCTGGGATTATACCATACTGCTTCTCAAAAGTGCTGTGGAATTATCCGCATCCCAGTCAGGCTGAAAGAAGCTTGATTTATCTGAGGCACACCATTCCCAGTAGAACAGCACTGTTAGTACTGAAGTGTAGCACAGACTAATAATCAAATGGCTGATCCTCGGCAGAGAACTGCTGTTTGTGTTTGGAATAAGGATTTCTTCCAGTGCAGCTCTTTTCCACAAGGTTTGCCGTGAGGCTGAGATTATGCTTCCTACCTAAACGTAGTACTGTTGGTGTGTTTGAATGAGGGGTGGGGGTGAAAGGCTGCTATTGTATGGTTAAAAATGTTAAACAGGTATGACCAAAGGTGTGTTAGAGCAAAAAGTGTTGTGTATGTCATTATCAAAAATTGGTCTTGCTCTTTGGTTTTGTGTGTGTAGAAGTCAGGATTTCCTTACGCAGACATTACACTGATGGACGTTAAAACACGTTAATGTTGCAGAACGTTTTCAGATATCCACATACTTTGAAGTAGAAAAAAAAGGTGATTCTATGAATCAGTTTTTGCAATTGAGTTCTTGAACTACTGCACTTGACTGTTACACGAACTCTTATATGGACGGCTATGAAGTAAGCAAAGGAAATTACATCAGGGCATTCATCTTTCAAGTTGTAGCAAATATATTTAGGCCTAAAGTCTAACTATTTGAAACTTTTAAAATTATTGTTCAGGTTGCTGGGGTAGAAGATAGGTTTGCATGGGAAGAACTGTTTTTCCTCTTGAAGCCACCCACTTTCAGAGTTGTTTTGAACTAAATTTCACTGTGACAGTTGCATCTGACACCTGCATTCTGTCTTCAGGCAAAATCTTCTGTATTGTTCAAACATCTTGATAATGTATTATTCACTAAATGGAAATAAGTTATAGTGCTATGTCAAAATGAAGATAGACGTGGAGAACAAGAGTTTGCAGAGCCAGATCAACGTGCTGTAAGGTACTAGTGAACAATCCAAGGCAATATGAGTATGGACACAAAAAAGAAAATGGTCTTCTGCCACAGAAAGGAATAAAACTGCACAAATGCTAGAAAACATGGCACCAAAATGGACAGTATTGAAAGTTTTGTCTATCTGGAAAGTTTTGGTTTTTGTGAAATTATGAAGCTGTCATGTTACTCTAAGGAGAATACAGCTTGTTGAAGTAGCTGTGGGTGACTTGAAGCTGATATGAAGAGACAAGGGGTTTCCTAAGAAACAAAAGAAATCATTTGGTCAAGATGCATAGGTGTTCAGTCCACCCTGTGCTGTGGTGATCTGGACGTCTGAGAAGGCCAAGACTGCTGGGCTGCTCAGTTAAAGGCTGCTGTGGTCATTTAGCAAGAGCACAGCATAAATAAATAGGAAAAAGCAGAAATGCAGAAGACTTTCTTCACTGAAAATGGACACATCTGTTGGATGAAAAGTGACTTTTACTAATGTCTGCTTTTAGCCTGGCAAAAGGGTGCAGACCAAAAGATTTATGCAGGAGATGGCTGCGTGACTCCAGAAACACTGGAGCTCTGAGGGCAACACACTGATGCAAAGTGCACTGGTGGTAGAGTTCATCTAGAATTTGCCCCTATGTAGAAAAACAAGTGAAGAGTATAGAAGAGGTAATAGAAGAGCAAAATCTGGCTAATGCTGCTTCTCTGAATTACAGATTAAAATGGAATGAGAATTATGATAAATGGAATATGCAGAGGCAGCTCAATTATAGAATAAGGTGAATTTAATTGTCCATGTATGTAAAATGTTGTCTTCATTGCAATGTCCCGAGTAGTGAAAGATTAGATCCGTTGGTTGTTGCTACTGATGCTGCATATTCAGATGAGGACTATGGCAGTTATCATAATCTGTGTGTTACTGTGTAGAATACCATTTGCTGGTAAGTGGATAGTCTCACAACTTAATGTGCTGTACAACTTCCTGCATATCCTAAAAATAACTGAAGTCTATTACAAAAGTATTTTAATAACTCCTCAGTATATTAGGATTTTTTTTTTTAAGTTGGCATTTTATTTATTTATATTATATAGAAGAAGGAATTTTTAGAATTTAGGTTTGCCAGAGGTTTGGGCTCACCACTTCTCTGAGTGATGGTAGCTTGTGTAGCATGTGTTCCTGCAGCACATGCTGCAACTGCACAGCCTTCTGTATAGATCAGGGATGAGTCTTTCCTTAATTTATTTTTCTTTTAGAAGACGTGTTTTGCAAGTTAGTAACTGATTAATTTGAAGTGTCAGTCTTTCTCTCCCCTAGCTTTTTGGCAAAACTTAGCTGCCGCTGAACTTTTGTTGAAATAACATAGAAATTGTGTGGGGCTGATTATGGTTTTGGAGTCACTGGGAGGAGGAGTACAAGTGAGGAGGGAGAATCAAAATGTGATACAAACTGAAACTGTTGAGAGAACTCTAAAGTCACGTTAAATGTTAATTTTTATAAACAAAGAGGGGGACATAGTGGTGCCTCCCGACTTGGTAAGGGGTGAGAAGGCAGGACGGAACGCCTTTCCTTTGAGATTGTATAATCGATGGACTGAGCATTAGCTACCTCTTCACTGACTGGGCAAAAGTCTTACACTACGTGTGATAACCAAAGCAGGCGGGTCGGCGGCTGCCGGGCGATGTCCCGTGGCCGTGAAGAAGCCAGCAGCTCGTCCCGGCGGCGTTCGGGGCGGCGGTTCGCCGTTCCCCCGGCGCGTCCCGGCTGATGGCGAGGAGGAGCCCCGGTAGCCGCTCCCCGGGATGCCTTACGGGGTCGGACACGTCGCTACCTCTACCGAACGATGGGCGAGGCGCGCCCCGGTGCCGGTGCGGTTTCCCCCAGCGGCAGCCGCTGTAGCAGTGCCAAGTCTTCTAATAAACGTGCTGCTAACTCTGTCTGCCGCCGCCTCTCATTTCCAGCGCGGTCACGGCGCACCGGGGGCGGGCGGGCGGAAGGGGCGGGCGGGGAAGCTGTTCCGGGGCGCTGCGGCAGCGGCGGCGGAGCGGCGCGGGCAGAGGGAGCGGCGGGGAGCGGAGCGGGCGGAGCGGATCGCGGCCGGCGGTAGGCGGCCCGGGAGCCCCGGGACAGCGGGTCCTGCCGGAGGCGGGGTGGGCTGCGCCCGGCGAGACGCTCCGGAGGTGCCCGCGGGTCCCGCCATGGCGGCGGACTCGGAGGTGCTGCACTTCCAGTTCGAGCAGCAGGGCGATGCCGTGCTGCAAAAGATGAACCTCCTGCGGCAGCAGAACCTTTTCTGCGACGTGTCCATCTACATCAACGACACCGAGTTCCAGGGGCACAAGGTGATCTTCGCCGCCTGCTCCACCTTCATGCGGGATCAGTTCCTGCTCAACCAGTCCCGGCAGGTGCGGATCACCATCCTGCAGAGCGCCGAGGTGGGCAGGAAGCTGCTGCTGTCCTGCTACACGGGCGCGCTGGAGGTCAAGAAGAAGGAGCTGCTCAAGTACCTGACGGCCGCGAGTTACCTGCAGATGGTTCACATCGTGGAGAAGTGCACCGAGGCTTTGTCCAAGTACTTGGAGATTGACGCTTCCATGGAGAGCAGTACCCAGGCTGCTGAGGGGTGCCACTCCTCGGATGCTGAACTAAGGAGCGGGGATGAGGTTTTAGATAAAGATTGTGAAATAATCGAGATCTCTGAAGACAGCCCAGAGAACGAAGAATACCCCGTGAAACAGGAGGATGGGGATGGCGATGGGGATGGCCCACACCCTGCACCGCAGAGCTTGGTGTCAGAAAGGAAGGACACAAAATCCCCAGAAATATCAACAGTGGAAATTGGGTATAAGGATGATGAAATCTGTATCTTTAGAATGGATTCCATGAGTGTGGCGAACGTAGAAAATGATCATTTTCCTCAGCCTTGCACTTCCTCTAAAACAAATTTATATTTCCCAGAAACTCAGCACTCCTTGATAAACTCTACAGTTGAAAGCAGGAATACAGAAATGTCAGGAAATCAATTTCAGGCTTTTGTTGGTGATAATCCAGAAGGAACTTCTAGTGGGGGGAATGGGTTCCAGAGCCTGGAGGATTCTGGCAGCTCATGGCGGCACCAGTGTCCAAAGTGTCCGAGGGGCTTTCTGCACCTTGAGAACTATCTCAGACATCTGAAAATGCACAAACTCTTCCTGTGCTTGCAATGTGGCAAAACGTTTACGCAAAAAAAGAATCTCAACAGGCACATCCGGGGGCACATGGGGATCCGGCCCTTCCAGTGCATGGTGTGCTTGAAGACCTTCACGGCCAAGAGCACGCTCCAGGATCATCTCAACATCCACAGCGGGGACAGACCCTACAAGTGCCACTGCTGCGACATGGACTTTAAACACAAGTCTGCTCTTAAAAAGCACTTGACTTCTGTTCATGGAAGGAGCAGCAGCGAAAAGCCAAACCTGAACACTATTACAAAAGTTAAAATAGACTATGATTGATAGCTGGACAATTGTGGAGTCAGACTCCACAAAAATCTCCTGGCTAGTGAAATTCTACATGCAATTCCAGTTCCAGATCCTCATCTAAGGGAGAGAAGCACAAACAGGTGACTGGTGATCCAAGACAGGCCTTGGAGTAGGAAACCTGCCTGCTCTGTTAAGGCTGCTATTGCTGTCAGTGAAAAAAGGTGTTTCCTAGTTGAGAGTAAACTGCAAAATATGGGAAATTATTTCATGCTTCTCTTCTATATATACTGAGCATATCCTGGTCCCCCAATGATGTTTTATATTTCTTGTTTCAAGGGCAGGCACTGCTGAGTTTCAGACTATTACTGATACTGCAATAAGCTGAAGCCTGAGCTATGGTGTTGGTGACAGCAGCTGAGGGAAGGGGGTGTTTGTATTTATTCAGCAAGTCAGTTGTTCCCGTCCAGTTCCTGGATCATTCACGGTGAAATCATCTCCTTCGTTACCCAGACTTTGCTAGATCTTCCAGATAGAAGGTGTGTTTTCATATTCAAGTCTGTGACGTTTAAGGACACACAACAAACAAAAACTAACCAAGGAACCTTTCAGTTTGTCTCTTGCAAACAGAAAATTTGTAAAAGAGAAAGAAACAAGCAGTATTGCCTTGCAGTTTATTTGTAACTGGACAGTCCCATGAAAAGGACTTGCTTTTACTTTTATCAAGTTCTGAATTTTTATAAATTTTTTTCTTCTAATAGTGGGATTTTTTTCTGTCATACCAATGTTTTGCACCTGTATTTCACAAGTTTAGTCCTGTTTGTTGCATCATAACATCTGCCTTCATTTTTTAACAGATCTTAGCTATGTGCACTTGTGTGAAATTCAGCTGTGTGCTGTTGGGTAATCACAGTTTCAATGCTAATTTTGAAAACCAGGCATTTCTGTCTGACTAGCAATGGCTTAGACATAGAGGTCTCATACCCTGATTCTGTGACACAGTAACACAGTAATGATGTGTGTTTGCAGAATTGTGTTTGTGCTTTGTCAAAGGTTATTTTAGTTTCATCATGAGCATCGCACACCCTGTGATGCAGTCTGTGTCTTTGGCTGGTACCTGTTTCTTCCACTTAATGTAACATGAATAAAGAGTTATTTCAGTTGTTAATATGAGATAATGGTACTTACAACTAGCAAAAAGCAGTAGTTCTTACTCCTTTCTGTATCGCGCTTTCCTTCAAGTTTCAGAAGTGCTGTTCCAAGTTCTTGCTCTGAGTCCAGGAGTCTGGCACAAATGCTTCAGAATCTGGCTGGCTCTAAAATCTGAGACAATAGTTTTTAATGTCAGTTCACTTTCCTTCCCCATGTCTGAGTGCACCAGCCTGTTTGGGGTTTTATTGATCAGCTACGTGAGGGGTTGGGGTGTGTACAATGTCTACCACGTTCCTGTTACTACTTGTTACAGGCATGGTCAGGTGTATGCGTGGGTATTTCCCTCATGAGCATTTACTTCCCTGTGTGCCAAAGGGGAAGCACACTGATCTTTTGAAGTGTGTCTTCTGTGGGAACAGGTTCCAAGTTATTTCGGTCGTGCATGTAAACATGAGAGGGAGTTGTGTTGTGTGATGGGCCACCAGCATGTTCTGTTCAGTGGCTGCAGTGTCTCAGTAAGCTTTGTGGACAAACCCTGGTCTTGTGCACGTTCACCTTAGGGGAGTTTCCTCTCCTTTCTATACATGTAACCATGCCCTGTCATAACACAATAAATGAAATGCAAACCTCGTTTTTTCTGATCGCAGTTAATAATGCTGTGCATACCTTAACAGTTATTATTTTGGCTTGTTGTGTTGAGTAAACAAGATGTAGTAAACAAAACACGGTGTTCCAGTGGCGGTCATTTAGTAACGCGTTCTTCTGTCCTTCAGAGGAGTCTGTCTGACCCGCTTGTGCCATGAATTCTTCCCCCTCAGGAGTCACAGCTCTGCACCGCCGTGACCTTGGCTGTGTTACAGGCTGTGTTATCTCTGCGTGAGCGGAGAAGCAGCTGCAGCTGCCGGGTGTCGCTCCGGGGCTGCCGTGCTGGGGCAGCAGCGCTCCCCACACCTCATGAGGCCCCGCCGGCCTGAGGCGGCTCGGGGACAACCGACGTGGGCCAGAGGGTGCCTCCAATCCCCTCTTCCTCCTCAGCGCCAGCAATAATTAAGTAATCAATTGCAATTTAGAACGACAATTAATAATCGACACTAGCGGTGAAAGTTACCGATTAAATTTTAAAAGGACAATAAATAATCGAGGCCAGAGGCGGACGTTGCGCACCGAGGACCCGCTGAGGCGGCTCTGCCCGAGGCGCGCCGCTAGGGGGCGCTGGCGGCGCCGGGCGGCGCTCCGTCCCGCCGTCTCTATGCCCCCGCTCGGCTCGGCCCTGGCGGCGGGCGCATCTGCCCCGCCGTCTCTATGGTAACTGCCTCCCTCCGCGCCGTCACGCGCGGCGGGCGGCGCGCGGCTCTCGCGAGAGCGGCGTGGCGGGGCGTGGCGGCGGGGCCGCTGTCAGCGCGATGAGGCGGCGCCGCCGGGGCTCCCGCCGCTGCCTCCGCCGGGCCGCGCGCCCGCCCCATGGCGCGTGAGGCCGGCACCGCCCGACCGCGCTCCGGCCGCCGCCCCCGCCCGGCAGGTACGGACCGCACCGCACCGCCCCGCACGGCCCGCGCCGGGATGGGCGGGGGCGGCCGCCGCGGGGGACGCGCTGACCCGCCGGGCCCCCCCCCTCCGCCCCCCCATCACACAGCCCGGTCCTTCCGCTGTCTCCCGGCGCTGCGGGAGCCGGGCGGGGGCGGCGGCGGGCTGAGCCCGTCCGGTGCGGCCCGTCGGGGACCGCAGGGGTGTCGGCGCCCGGCGGGCCCCGCCAGGCCGCGGGGCCGGCCCGGGGACCCGGGCAGCCATTTGGTGGCGGCTCCGAAATGACGGCGGGAGCAGGGCCGGGCAGCGGGAGCGGGAACGGGAAGCCAGGCCCGGGCCCAGGAGCGGGAGCCGGGCCCAGAACGGGAGCAGGGCCCGGGCCTGGTGCGGCAGCGGGGCCGGGCTCGGGTGCGGCTGACAGCGGCCTGCGGACGGGGCGAAGCTGCGGGGGCACTCGCGGGGCCGCCCGGCGTTCCGGGCACCGGCAAACGCAGGCAGGAGCTCCCGGTTCCCTCCATGGCAGCCCCCCGGGGAGCTGCAGCACCGGGCAGTCCGCGCTGAGGTGCCCCCGGCACCGGGGAGAATCGCACCGGAGCCATGGATATTGCCAGGGTGGAATACTCATGGAGCTGTGCGTTAGGGTAATGGTGGAGGAGAGTCGTGGTGGGAGATGTGCCCCAGGACTGCACCCACCGTGTCATGTTTGAAGTGTCTTAAACACAAAAACACAAAACAACGGAGCAGGAAAAGCGTGTCCCGGTTCTGCTGATGCTCGAGGTGCACGGAGGGTTTCCAGTTAAGTGTAAGAGTCAGCACAAAGCACAGAAGGGCAGCAGAGTGGTGGGAGAGTGATGAGTGTTCAGTTCATCCAGGGTTCAGAGGAGAATAGCCTGGATCTGTAACGAGAGAAAAGAATGACAAAGTTTAGACGGGCTACCAGGAGATTTTCTGATCTAGGCCTGTTTAATTTCCATGCCAGCTTAGAATTTTGTTTGGGTTTAATTGCAGTTCCTTTAGCTTCTCTTGTGGTTGTTCTCTCATGGCCATTATAGCTACATCATAATAATGAAACTAAAATTAAAAGCAGTCCTGTGGATTACAAGGGTGTAAATTTGCAGTTGTGGCAGAAGAGATCTAATTTTAAATGAGAAGTAACCAATACAGCTGTAAATCTTCAGAATCAAAATACTATACTTTGACCTTTGGTCTTTCCTAAATATCTGTGGAAATACTCAAAATTTAAACTTCTGTTGCTGGTATAAGTATTATTCCATGAAATGTTGACGTCTTAATTTCTGTAGTGAATCATTTTCCCAAGAATTTCACCTTTTTTGTGAAGTTTTGTTTCTGCATTGTAAGCAAAGCTTTCCCCAAGAAAAGGTGTTTTTATTAACTTGTATTTCTGTCTTGTTAGAGGTTGTGGCCATTTCTCTCTAAAATACTAAATTCTATCGAATTTTAGTGTCAGTGCTTTAGGTATCCCAAAGTGAAGTCCTGATATTGAGTGGTGATCTCATTTATTTAAGGCTTTGTTGCTTTAAAATAGATAAAATATTTACAATAAGCAGATGGTAATAGCTGATAGCATTTGTTAGGAGTATGTTGCATTTCATTTGGTGATATTTTATATATCTTTGATGGGATGAATGTTCAGGGAATCTCTCCTTGCTGACTGGACAACCCTAAGGAAAGGAAAAAAATGATTTGTCCACGGGCATCTCAAGTCATTCTGTACAACCTTTAAAAAAGCGTTCCAGCTTCTGTGGAGCCCTATGTTTTCTTGCCTACATCTCAGAATAGACTTGGTATTTCAATAAAATGGTTTAAAATACAGAACTTCTCATCTAAAAAAATATAGTTTAAACATGGAGGTCACGTGTAAAAAAAAAAGCTTGGAGAACTAAGCCATACATGAGAGTCCTTATTCACAGAAAATATTACTGAGAAGTTAGGAGTTCTACACTGTATCTCTTCTTGGAGTAACTGTGTCCAAGTAGATGTGCTTAGAGAGAGTCCAACTGATTTGGGTGGCAAAAAAAAAATTTCATTTGTTTGCCCTTCAGTTAGTCCTGAAAAGTCAATACTGTTACAGAAGCTGAGTTGGTATCAGGCTGGTGGCAGGGACAGGCTCTCCTTTCAGGGACACTTAGTAAACACAAGGAAAAACCCACAGTGGCATTACGTAAGTATTTAGGAAACTTTTAATATCTACTAACATGATTTATGGTAGCAAGGATTGAGCAGGTGAGAACTGCTGAGGGTACACTGACTCTGGTGTTGGTTTGGGGGCAGTTAATCCTGAATTGAATGAACTTTGGCAGTCACTGAGCAACCACGAGCATAAATTTATATTGTACCCCTGTTACTCTTCAGCCACATGTTTTAAGGAGGCAGAGGGGATTCAAGCTTTGATTTTTTTAACCAGTTAACAAGAGAATCCTGTAGGCATTTCAGCAAAACGTAGTCTGGGTACGTGTAAACGTCCAGATCTATATTTAGGTCACAAGGAAATGGAGTGAAGCTATCAGGGAAGTTCAGGTTGGACATTGGTACAAGCTTCTTTCTTCCCCCTGGGGCTGACCAGGCACTGGAACAGGCTCCCCAGGGAAGTGGTTGTGGCACCGAGTCTGCCAGAGCTCCAGGAACGTGTGGATGATGCTCCTGGACATGAGGTGTAGTGTCAGGTGCTCCTGCAAGAAGCAGAGCTGGACGTGTGTCCCTTCCACCAGGATTTCTATTGGTGACTTTTCTGGAGCTTGAATTGGGCTGCAGATACTCACAAGAGCATTAATGTTCAGTGAAAGAATTGCATTGAAATACTATATTTAATGGTCATTAGAGACTTTACATATAGAATTTTCACATGATGTAAAGAGATTTGCATGTGGCAGATATTACAGAGTGTAGGCATAGAAAAGGCACCTCAGTAAAGAGGATTTATTTCAATTTCAAGCCATCATAGCTGAATGATGCAAAGCTGTTGTGGGGAGGGTCCTTCCCCAAGCCTTTAATGGAGCCAGTTTTTTAGATGTGTGGATGATGGCTGTTGAAGAGAGCCCTTCCAGAGAATATATTAATACTGATAATTGTATTATGTGATATGTAAGTTTTTGACCAAGTCAGAGTGCTTTCAGGAACTACATAACTTAGGAAGGAAAGCTGGAAAAAGCTGCCTCCTTGTAGTGCAAACCAACCATTCATCTGTATAAACGAACTATTTTAATGGAGATTACTGTAAAAAAAGAAAAGAAAATTTCATGATCTCTGGAGTCAGCATTAAGAGCAAGTCAATATCAAGGACTCTTTAATTTAGTGATTCAAAATCAAAAGAACTCTAAGATTTAGGCTTAAATCCACAGTAGGATTGTAATTGAACCTCAGTTGTGAAAATGCCGTATAATTTCACAAGTTTTCCAAGCGTTTCCTTCATCTGTTGAGAAGACTTCCCTTTGTTCAGCACTGACAGAATTATTCCATGTCTCATTCTCACCCAAGCTCTGCTTATTTGTCTTTGCTCACGGCCCACAAGGGACCTGGTGGAGGCAGCCTGAGCCGGGCAGAGCTGACGCTGGGGGGAATGAGTTAAGCCATCAACCCTTTCTGTGATAAGGGGTGAAACTTGCCTGTCTGCATTTTGGCAAATGCCCTGACTGAGCAGTGTGGGAGAGGAACAGACTGACAGAACAGCCTGATCACCTAAGCTTGGTTTCTTCAGGAAATCAGAATTGAATTCTGTTTATCATGTCCAGAGGTTATTGAGTAAGCATAATGATTTAGATTAGTTGTAGAGAATGTCTTGGGGTTAGGTAGCTAGAAGTTAATATGAAATTGTAAAGGACATCTAAATCTTACAACTTAGATCATTTATAAGTGGTACAGCTGTTTGAGGAAGGTCTTGAGGTTTCACTTATTTCCCCTTCCACCCCACATTCCAATTTCATCAGATATTCTGGTCTAAAATGAGAAAATCGGTCCTTTATCATTGTTACTCTGATCCATTGCAGCCATGACTGCAATAGGAAAATACTACTGTTTTAAAAACACATTACTCAGCTGTACTGGTTTTTATTATTACATAATTTCTGAACTTAGACTTGTATGATTTTCAGTTTGTCATCTGAAGTATTGCTTCTGGTAGTAATGCCACAGAACTAATTGTAACTTCACTATGTAATGATTTGTTAAGTAGCAACTGCCATGAATTTGCAAACTGCTTCCTTGTATGTCTGGCTGGTTTCTGTATCAGCCATTTCTTGGGTGGTTTTTTTTTTTGTTTGTTTTTTTGTTTGGTTTGGTTTTTGGGGGGGGGGGTTGGGTTTTTTTGTTGGGTTTTTTTTTCAGGGTGCTTCTACTTTGACAGGGAAGAGGAACCCTGTGTAGTGTAGAGAAAATAACACATCTGCCAGAATGAACAGATAGACCAAGGGTAGTTGTTCTGATGGAGTGTGCTGCCTGTTAAAAACAGAATCCAAAGGATTTCTAGTTTACCTTTGGGTTTTTTTTTTTTTTTTTTTTTTTTTTTTTTTAAATCTCCTTGTGTTTGCTCAGTTAAGAGTGCTGGAGCAATTTGTTGTTCAAGGGGACATCCCTGAAATACATTGTTTCTGACAAGGAGCAAGAATCTATTAAACATTTGGCTTATGGTTTTTGTAGGAGTTGACATGGTAATTAGGAGATGTGAGATTGTTTTCCTACACACTGGGGTGTTAGAGTGGCAGGAGAGCTGGCAGGCTCAATAAAGTATGGAGATTCCTCCCTCTATGGCTGCTTGAAGTTTTGGGAGTCGAGAGCTTTTCCCAGCTGTTTGCTGGCTTAATTAGATTTTTTTTCCTGTCAAGAAATCTGAAGGTCAACACATGCTTAGTAGAATCTGTCATTTGGGATGATTAAACACCCAGAGACAGATTTTTTAAAACCGGTGCTGCACACTTGAAGAATCTGTTGTGTTCATTTCTATGCTGGTCAGGAAAACAACTGTATTTTTTTAAAGCTCAAACAGAGAGGTAGTTTCTTGCAAGTCTCTGAAGCACCCGTGGAAACCAAACGTGGGTATTGTCTCGGAGCAGAGATCCCTGCGTCTGAGATAATTAATGAGCAGTGTGGACACAGGGACTGTTTATTAGGAGCTCGTTAGTGACATACCAGCAGTTGAGCTCTCTGTGTACCAGCCTCTTAAACTTTTCCCGGTGTGAGTCATGACAGTCACACACTTCCCAGAGTGTTTGGTGCTGTTACCTGTGTCTTGCAGTCAAGTGAAAAAGCACCACTATCAGCCTTAGGTCAGCAGTAACGTTGGTGTTGGTGTTTTAGTATTTCTGGTAGTGCTGCAGAGAGCTGTAAGGGAAGTGTTGACAGACAGGCTGTGCAGTTCTGTGCATCTCTTGTCTGGCTGCTTCAGAAGGGAAGCAGATGTGCTAAAGGAAATGGTGGGATTTTTAACAGAGGAATCAGAAAACTTTCTAGGCCTGTTGGCTCAGTGTTTGGCTTTATTCTTATTTATTTTGCTTTTAATTTTCTTGGTTAAAAGACACATGCAGCAATAGCATGTTAAAGATGACTGGGTGTGTTCATCCCTGCTAGAGCTTTGCCTGTGCTTTCATAGAAGCCGGAGGAAAATCTGATTTGTCCAATACATGGGAATTTTCTGGCTTATGTTGGAAGTGTAACCTCAGCAGTTTGATTTTGAGAGGTTCAGCTTCCAGTTTGGTGTGTTTTACTATGGGAATTCATTTGAGGCAAAAATTGCTGCATAATATTGAAAAGCTCGCTGAGATAAGGACATCTTGTACAAGTATCCTGTTACTTAAAGGGCACTGAATGTTCGTAGTACTAAATAGGATTTCTAAACAGATGGTCATAATTAACATAAAATACATCCACAGATAAGAGTCTATTTGGTCTTCTAGTAATTCTTTCAATGGTCTGGTAATTTAGCATTAATTAAGCCATAGCACAGCCAACAATGGAACTGCAGTAAGGAGTTTCTGAATTTGAACACAGAGGGGAGATCTCATGTTCCTCGGAGCAATTGGCTTTTTTCTATCATCAGAGTAAAAAAAATAGAATGCTAAACATGTAATTAAAACATTTGTGTATTTGCATTTGTAACAATCTTGTTCATAGCCTTGAAGTGACCCAACTGGTCTGTAGGTTGCCTAGAGAGCAAACACGGTGGCACAGCACAGCCCAGGGTGGGGCTGCTCACTCCGGGGTGGAGCTCTGAATGTAAATGGTGCTGATGGAAGCTTGGATGAGAACGGTTTTGATGAATTTATTAGGCCTGGTACCTTTTTCAGGAATGTGACTTACATAAGATACATCAACAATCTCCATAAAGCCATATTTTCTTTGAAATACGCTTATGTAAACAATTTATTTGGTACTACTGCACAGAGTGAGACATATCAAGAGATGAGGAAGCCATCTGAAGTTATTGCTTGCCTCATCATAGGTTTTGTCCTAAATACCTGGGTTTTACATGCATCAAAGATTTTCTTGCTGAGAGTTCATGGATGTAGTTATATGTAACATGCACACAGCAATCTCTGCCCTTGAGTGCTCCAGTTCTTACAAGAAAAGGCAGAAGTAACACGAAAATCATAAAACTAAAAACTGGTCTCACACTTCTAGTGTTTTCTTATGGCTCTTGATATTTGTTAGTTGATTTGTGTTTTACAGAAGGAGAAAATGTGTTTTTTAAAAAGCAAAGCTCGGTTTGGTTTGGTGTCTGCTTAAATCTGAATAAGATCTGCAGAAGGAAGGCGTTGTTTTACTTAATTTGAAATGAAAATAACATTCTAAACCAAACCCCTCCCCACCAAGAAAAATTAATGCCATTTATTGTGAATGACTTAAACTTAGGGTAGTCTGCATCAATTTAGTTCATGAGCCTTTTTTGGTACAGATGTTAAACTAACCCAGAGTTGGGGTTTTTGAGTACTTCAGCATAAGGATTTGTTTTTGTTCTTGGTAATATTGAAATTGGTCTGTTTTTTTAATTAAAAGTTATTCTAAATTGCCAGAAAGCATGTTTTAAATACTCTGTTATTCACTTACAGCTGCCAAAACATAGTACAGTGAAATAATGGTCTGCTAGCCTGCTAAACAAGTGTCCAGCTTCCACAATGCCCGTGCAGGCAGCTCAGTGGACAGAATTTCTGTCCTGCCCAATCTGCTACAATGAGTTTGATGAGAATGTGCATAAACCCATCAGCTTAGGTTGCTCTCACACCGTGTGCAAGACCTGCCTGAACAAGCTCCATCGCAAGGCATGTCCTTTTGACCAGACTGCCATCAACACAGACATCGATGTGCTTCCTGTGAACTTTGCACTCCTCCAGCTGGTTGGAGCCCAGGTAGGATTGAAGCAGCTCTTTGTTTGCCACTTGGTGTTGTTGCCTTCTCCGTGCCAGTTGCAATATGTGTGCTGCTCTTTCTTCCTCATTTTAGCCCAAATAAATTGTAAGGCTTAACTTTGGACTCTCTAGGAGTCTATACATACTCTAAAAGCAACCTCACCATTTCAGGGCCATCTTCTCGTAAAATAAAATGTTCTACTTGTAACCTGAATTCGGATTTTAAAAGGCTCTTGAACTGTGACTGGAGAAGAATTCCCATTGGGAAGCAGACAATTATCTTTCCCAATTGTCAGTAGAATGTGTGAACCTGAAGACTGCACTCGTTCATCTTAGGCTTGTGAGAAATCTCATTCCTAAATGTCACATGTTTGGAAGTGGCTGTTTAACCAAGTTCCAGAAGTGTGTGTGTATAATTTTTTTTTAAAATGTGCTTGATGATGGCTTTTCAGTTGCGTTTGCAGACACTGGCTAATCAGGCCAGGAATGTTCCCTGCGCTGTCTCGTAGCAGTGGCAAAACAGTGATTATATAATCAGTACTGCACTTTATGGAGACTAAATAAGTCTTACGCTGATTCATGTGCTTTTTCATGTTACTCTCTCTCTAACACCTTGGTGAGGCAGTAAGAAGGTGTTATTGACTTTGCTTTTTAATGTCCTATCACGTGCCTTGACACAGCTATTGGTAATGACATTATGTCAGAGTGGTTTTGTTTCTCAAGTTCACGTGATCCTTTCATTTTTTTATGTGTCAGATCATTGGTGTTATCTTACAGCATTTATTTTCATGGTCTCCTAACTTCTTGCAATGTATTTTAACAATTTGTTATGACTAACACTCCCTCTGTTTTCCTTATCTGACCTTGTTACTCTGATTCAAGTTTTTTTCCACTGAGTTTCTTCTCTTGGAAGATTTTAGTATGCCCAAATGATGCTTAAATAATTTTTAAACTTTGCTTTATTATAGTCTTGCTAGTTCATTTTGTCCTATAGCTTTTTTGTAGTAAATCATACTGATCTGGTATACTGATCACCTTCTCAGATCTAGTGTTCTTCATCTTTTAGACAGCTGGTTATTGTTTTCTACCCTACTTCTGTTTTTAAGGTGTTGAGTAATAACAAAATCCATCTTTCATCATGCTAATCCTCATCTTGGGCTCTTTTTGTTGTTCCTTGAGCCATGTACATGCCCTGGGTGGGTCCTGTGTTGCCCTGCTCTCAGAGCAGTGCACATCTGCAGTGTTATGTAATTCATGGTGATGTGGGTACCATCGGAGAGGCCAGCCAGGTGTATGTAATTCTGCTCCCCCTTCCTCCCCCTTGCATTTTTTTAGGTACCTGATCATCAGACAGTAAAGTTGAGTAATGTAGGAGAGAACAAACATTATGAAGTAGCAAAGAAATGTGTTGAGGATTTGGCACTCTACTTAAAGCCATTAAGTGGAGGAAAAGGTGAGTCTCTGCTGAGCAGTGGAATTTTGATGTAGCTTGCTTTTCAGAGCATTGTGTTTTCAGCACTGATTGTAAATGTCAGTGAGATAATACTCTCATTTTTCTAATAAAATTGCCTTGTGTCTTTAAAAGCTTATTCACACTTGTGACACTTGTTTGTGGTTTTTTATTTTAAGTTTACAAAATACTCTATTTAATAATACTGCCTTGGGGTTAACTTTGTACTGAAACTGAACTTTCCCCAAAGGATGGCTTTGATGTCAGTTTAAGATTTTAATTAAAGTTCTTTTTGATAAAGAATTACACAGAGTTGCTTAAGAGAAGGGAAGGTACCTGTGACTGGTATCCAAGTCCTAGAGAAAGGCATATACTGTTAGACTTTTTTTTTGTCTCACTCAGATGAATTTGATGAGAAGCACTGCTTTGCCTTTTTTCCCTTTCCCTGAAGGTGTTGCAAGCTTGAATCAGAGTGCACTGAGCCGTCCCATGCAGAGGAAGCTTGTGACACTGGTGAATTGTCAGCTGGTGGAGGAGGAGGGTCGGGTCAGAGCCATGAGGGCAGCTCGGTCGCTGGGAGAGAGAACTGTCACAGAACTCATCCTGCAGCACCAAAATCCTCAGCAGCTTTCTGCCAATCTTTGGGCTGCTGTTAGGGCACGAGGGTGCCAGTTTCTAGGACCAGGTAAGGGACCTGTACGTCTGCAACAGAATATTTACCTGTACCTTTTCTTTACAAAAATGTTTTGAAATTTTTTCTGTTCAGTTGAAGATGTTCTGCCAGAAAGAAAGGAGCAGGGAAAAAAAAATAGTAAAATCTTTGGGCATAAAGTTTTTAGTTGTTTCCCCTGCTGGTCCATTAAATCTTCTTTGAAATTGGGGGGGAGTATTTAAAAAATCCTGGGAAAGAGGAGTCAATAAGCACACGCTGTGCACAGTTTGTAATGGAGTGTAGCAAGGCAACTGTACTGCTGCCTGTTACTGGAATTGAATAGCTGTCAATAAATCAGCCTAACCTGAGTTGCAGCATACTTTTGAAATTTATAATGATTTATATCTCTGATAGAAAACAAATCCATAGTTAAGAAGGCAGCTAAAGCAAGCACAGGAACAAGGAAATTCTCTTTAAAATAGAAGTTGTCCTGTCTTGATTCCTGTACCTGTTGTTAGCATTCCAGTATTGTTCCCATATTTTTTTTATAGTTTTATGGTGTGGCATTGAAGAGGTGTCCAAAAGAACAATGGCTACAAGATTGCACAGTGGAGAAAAGTATAAAAACTGCACTACTGATGTGTTTATTACTGGAAGTTGGTCTTAGCTCTAAGTTTGCTGTGCTTAGAGTGGTTCTAAATATTTCTTCTAAACTAGCAACTTTCTTTAAAAGCTTTTTTTTTTTTTTTTTGTAAAATAAAAAGCAATAGGGAATTACATTCAAGATGATTTAGATGTTCTTGCTTACCTGTTCAAATATAGTAGCCTTGCTGTTTTCTGGAGTATATTTAACTTTCATTTTTGTGTGTTAAAGCTATGCAAGAGGAGGCACTGAAACTTGTATTACTTGCACTGGAAGATGGATCTGCACTCTCAAGAAAAGTTCTGGTACTTTTTGTTGTGCAAAGATTGGAACCAAGATTTCCTCAGGCCTCTAAAACAAGCATTGGTCATGTTGTGCAGCTACTGTATAGAGCATCATGCTTTAAGGTAAAACACCACTATTGTGGTTTGTGCTGTGCAGCTGTTTTTTGTGATGAACATGGAGATTTTTGGTTAAAGAAGGAATGTTGAACTATCGCTATTTATTAGGTTACTAAAAGGGATGAAGATTCTTCTCTGATGCAGCTTAAAGAAGAGTTCCGGAGTTACGAGGCTTTGCGGAGAGAGCACGATGCCCAAATTGTTCACATTGCCATGGAAGCAGGACTTAGAATTTCACCAGAGCAGTGGTCTTCCCTTCTTTATGGAGACCTGGCACATAAATCACACATGCAATCCATTATTGACAAGGTTTGTTAAAGGAATGATTTTAGAATCTTTGTAGGATTAGTTTTAACTACTAAATGTTACAAGAAAAATCAAAGAACTCCATGAATTAACTTTTTGTTCATAGTCCTATCAAATATTAATTAAAACTAGATTGAATTTTTTTCCCTGATGTAGCATATTCATCATATTAATTAACTTTTTGGTGTCTTATGATGAAGCTTCATAGGGCAGATTCTGAGTTGAGAAATAAAATTTCTCTCCACTGATCCTCTCTATATGCCATCTGAAGACACTATATATTGCATGTAGAAACCAATGTCATGAATAGCTTTTTTAAGATTAGTAATTGACAGTTGTAAGATGCAGCACACTAATGCTCCCTTTATTTTCAGCTTCAATCTCCAGAATCTTTTGCTAAGAGTGTACAAGAATTGACAATTGTCTTGCAGCGCACGGGGGATCCTGCAAACTTAAACAGGCTGAGGCCTCATTTAGAGCTCCTGGCAAACATAGATCCAAATCCAGGTATGCAAATTAAGCTTTTTGAGCTTTTCTTGGTATTCTTCATATCTAGCAAAATAAATTATTAAGATCATAACTTCCATTCCTGGTTTTGAAATTCCCATTAATAAACATAATAAACTCTTCAGGGCTCTCTGAGTTCAGTCCTAGTATTTGGTGTTGTAAAGTAATACAAGATGTGCCTCTTATTTTTGATAGTGGAATAACTGCCAGAGTGACAACCCTGCTTTTCATCATTTTAGATGCAGCATCTCCAACATGGGAGCAGCTTGAAAATGCGATGGTGGCTGTAAAGACTGTGGTCCATGGGCTGGTGGATTTCATTCAGAATTACAGTAGAAAAGGGCATGAAACTCCACAGGTAACCAGACTTGATCATTACATTATTTCTTAATGGACATTTACTGGGAGATGCAACTTAGAAGAATTGCTGTTGATTTGGAATATTTATGGCCTTTCCTGTGGGATAATTGATGATACTGTTATTTACTGCATTCAGATTTTGAGAACCTAACGTTTGTGAATATGGAATGCAGCAGAGCTGGCCGTAGAGAAATCCATACAAGGACAACTTAGCCCCTCAACAAGGAATGTCCTTGTTTTTCTGATTAAAAATGCAAAATATAAAAACATTCCATGGATGTATTTTCTGTATTTTAAGCCTACTTTTATATGAGTGTGTGATAGATGGTAAGAGGAATGTCTTGTGCTTTTTGTTTGTTGTTCTTTTTTAAGCCACAACCAAATAGCAAATACAAAACAAGTATGTGCCGAGACCTTCGACAGCAAGGGGGGTGTCCAAGAGGAACAAACTGTACATTTGCTCATTCTCAGGAAGAGCTTGAAAAGTGAGTGTGGGAGACTTTTTCCTTGTTCTTTTTTTTTTTACTCCTTTTAATTTAAATCTAAGCAATCTACCGAGATTTTTGAAAACATCCTCTTCTGTACGTTCATTCATTTGGAGGGACTCTTGACATGACAATTCTTTATATGAAGTTGAAGAGTCAGCAGAACAATGTTTGCAGACTAATTCCAGTTTTATTTTTCATTTTACCCCATATGAGGTAAAATTTCCTTTCCTGCAACTGAGTCTAAGCTCGGTGTCTTTCAAGGATTGGTTATATTACCTACAAGAGAGAATGTTAATTACATTTTATTTGATGAAAGAGTGAACTGAGTTATTGAACAATATGCAGCTCTGCATTCTTGAAGTTGTTTTCACCCAAATGGATTTTCAAAGAGGAGACATGACTTTGGGTTCCAATTGTTGCAAATAAGTTTGTAATTTTTTGGTGTCATGTTCCATGTCAATCCCTTCTTTTTGCTAGCTTTGCAAATCCATAAAAAGCACTTTTTATACCATCTTGTCTTTTGTGTGTTTGTTTGTAGATACCGCTTGAGGAACAAAAAAATCAGTGCAACAGTGAGAACATTCCCCCTTCTAAACAAAGTTGGCGTAAACAGCACCGTCTCAACCACCACGGGAAACGTGATCTCTGTCATAGGAAGCCCTGAGGCAACAGGCAAGATGGTGCCAAGTACTAATGGAATAGCTAATCTTGAAACTGGGGTTCCCCAGCTGATCCCTCGCTGTGCAGACACCTCCCTGAGAGCTCTGGACAACACCAAGAAGGGAGGGAAGACTGGAGCCAATGGCCAGAACGCTTCTGGGTCCCCCACAGAATCACTTCCTGAAAAGTAGGTGACTTTTTTACATCAAGACAATGTAACAAAACATTTTGCTTTTAGGTTATCTAAAATAATCAATGGAGTTTGTAGCCAGCAGATACTGAAGTGTGGTCTTGGCTTGCAGTAATTGCTGATGCTCAATGGCTGCAGAGCTGTGTAAGGTCTTGCACTGCAGTGCATTGTTTTAGCTGTTCAGTACTCATGTGCAATGTAGACAAAATGGTAAATCTCTCCCTTTATCTCTTACTCAGTTATTCTCAGCCTGGGATCTTAATTACTCTTGGGTTTTTACATAAAAATAAAAATTATGGCATACAAATACATTATATACATATTACATACTATTGGGTTATTACATACAAGTATGTTATTACATGCAATAAATTGTATTCAGAATTTGACATTTCCTAAAACCAAGAAGAATGCACAGAGTGTGCACTTCCTTGAAACCTTCTAGCTTTGGGATTGTCACTTAAAACTTTTGAGGTAATTCTGCAGAATTACCCAAATTTCCACATTACGTGGGAGTGTACATGAAGAGGTGACTGACTGAAATAAGTGAAGATCTGCTTAATGATTTCTTGCTAATCCTTTTCAGTAAAATCGGTTCTCCACCCAAGACTCCTGTAAGCCAGGCAGCAGCTACCTCAGCTGGTCCTCCTAATATTGGAACAGAAGTTAATTCTGTGCCTCCAAAATCCAGCCCGTTTGTTCCCAGAGTACCTGTCTACCCTCCACATTCTGATAATGTTCAATATTTCCAAGATCCCAGGACTCAGCTGTCATATGAAGTTCCACAGTACCCACAGACAGGTGAGTGATATCAGCACTGATTTAAAAATAGCTCTGAAATTTTCTCTGGAAAAATAACTTTTATGTCTGTTTTAGCAATGCCTGTTTTATTTTCTTTTTATTAAATATCAGCTGAATGTTCTCTTAATGGAATACTAATCTTGTTAATTGCTGGGTATGTGAGGGACTTGCAGTTTGCTCCCAATGTTGGTAGTTCTTGCCTTTGTGTCCTGTATGTTATACAGATGATACTTCAGCCTCCAGAAGAACTTGAACCTCAAGGTGTTTCATGTACTTCTTCCTTTGGTAGCATTTAATTGTTTTTATTTAGGCTTGCTCTTGCCATGGCCTATCCATGAGGGTATCCATGGGCAGGATTCAGAGGTATAGCACACTTCTCCTGGGAGGCTTGCATGTCTTTGTGCTTGCTCTAATGTTTTCAAAATGTTCCAGTTATCTTTTTAGGTTGCACTGTGCATGTTTATATTCAGGGAGACAATTGTGGTTTACAGCACTGAGTCATTCACAAGCTCTGAAAAGGTAGAGATGTTCAGGCAAACCTCTCCAAAGAAATAGCAATAAATCAAGTGTGAAATGGTTATTTCTAGACTTTTTATTTCTTAGCAATATAGATTTTTATTTTAGAGAGAACTATTTTAAATTCCTGTATAAAGAATTGCTGAAGATTCTGTGTTTTCAGTTACATAGTTACACCACAGTACATAGGAGCAAGATTTTCCAAACTGGGTCCAGTTGGTGAAGGGCCAGCACTGCATCTGCAAATGTGGTTGTCATACATGAAAAATATTTAGCAGAAACATGGTAGGGTCAGTAAGAGGTTTGTAAAGTGTGACTCCTCATTCTCTAAAGGTACTTATCAATGCTATTTACAGTCTTAGAATGTGTAAAATTTTGGGTCATTTGTGGCTGCATTAAATATGCCTTTTTCCAATTTTTAAGGGTATTATCCAGCACCTCCAACGGTACCAGCTGGTGTGGCTCCCTGTGTTCCTCGTTTTGTGAGGTCCAATAATGTTCCAGAATCCTCCCTCCCACCTGCCTCCGTGCCATATGCCGATCATTACAGCACATTTCCCCCTCGGGATCGACTGAATTCTCCCTACCAGCCTCCTCCTCCTCAGCCCTACGGCCCAGTCCCTCCTGTCCCCTCTGGAATGTACGCTCCAGTCTACGACAGCAGGCGCATCTGGCGCCCACAGATGTACCCACGAGATGATATTATTAGGAGCAATTCTTTACCTCCCATGGATGTGATGCACTCATCTGTCTATCAGACATCATTGCGGGAGAGGTACAACTCTCTGGATGGGTATTACTCTGTGGCTTGTCAACCTCCAAACGAGCAGAGGACTGTGCCTTTACCAAGGGTAAGTGAGAGCCAGGAAGGGAAGGCTCTATGCAGACTTGGTTCTGAAGGTCATTACTGGAAAGTTGGTAAATAATTAGCATAGACCTGTTCATTACAGTGATCGAGACGTGTGACTTGGACAAACTTCTTGTTTTGTTTTTAACCTTAAAATGGGTTTGCAAAACAGACCACTGTAATCTGCATTAGGACCAGAGCCCCTTTGCCTGTTTAATGCCCATGTATGTTGCTTGAATTAATTGCATGCCTAAGATTCGAGTTGCCATACATGGGCCTGCAACCTCTTGTGAAATTCTTCAGGTTACAGAAATTTAGGAAATGTAGGGACCCAAGTGTGTTCCATGCATGTATTTGCTTTCTGATTAGAGCGTGATGGGATAGCCAGTCCTGTATTTACTCTTTCTAGGAGCCTTGTGGTCATTTGAAGACTGGTTATGATGAGCAGCTGAGACGGAAGCCAGAGCAGTGGGCACAGTACCACACACAGAAAACTCCTCTGGTATCATCAACCCTTCCTATGGCAACACCATCTCCAACACCACCTTCTCCTCTCTTCAGTGTAGATTTCAGCACAGAGGTAGGAAGCCAAAGTACCTCTTTATTTTCCCTTCCTGTTTCTGTAAGATGCCGTTTAATATTTCTAGGAAAGATTTCTACCTGCCATTTATTGTTCATAAAATTAGGTTAATCTTCTAGCAAAAGGAAAGTGACGTCTAATAATGATGCAATTCAGTTTGGTATTAAGGTGATGCTAAACATGACTGTGGAAAAAAGGTCAAGAAGTGAAGTGATTCAATTCAGCCTCACTTAATGAAATGTAATTTTATTGAACTTTGTGAACCTCCTGTTTTTTGTGTAGGGAACAGCACTTGTGTTTTCCATTAAGAAGTACACTGCCTTTGATACTCCAAATGGCTTTGACTTGATGAGTAGCCTGAATCAAACTTCAGGTGCTTATCAAGTCCCAGAGAATGCATTCCCTTAAAAGTGGCAAAAAACATTGGTAGGACATTGTGTACTTCTGTAATAAGTCCTATAAAGAAGAAGGGGAACTCAAGAAATGGCAATAGTGCACTTTTGAAGGAAAAAAACCCCTTAAAATACTTTATTCTATCTCTCTAAATGAGATGCATCCAAAAAACTAGTTTGAAAACCACTATGCCAAGCAGTCTTAGCTGTGGTTTGAGTTTTGTTGGTGATATTTGAGATGTTAAGAATTATTATTCAGATCAGATCTTGTAGGTGTACCTGAAGTGCCTTATGCATGCATTCAAGGTGGATCAGGCTTTAGTCATTTTCAGACAGGTTGGAGGGTGGTAAGTTGTACTTTTATTTACCACTGGCTAATGCATTAAAGGAAAATGGATGGCTTCCTCTCAGTTAAGTTATTGTAGATATTTGCCTAAAGAAACCTGACACTTGACATAGATTCCACTCCCTGGTGGGCCAGGCAGTTACTTGTATGGCAAAGTTTGCCCTCTGACAGCTGCCAGGGGCACTGGTTTAAAATTTGACAAAACAGCTTATGTTGTCCCCAGGTCAAGTCTTGAATATGGCTGGAACTCCTTGATTGACTTTTGAGATACACTTACTGCTATTTAATTAAATTATCTTCTCATTTTAAAACTGAATTCCCTGTTTTTATTATTCACTGCTTATTTATTCCCTTTTCTGTAGTTCTCAGAGAGTGTCAGTGATTTGAGTGGAACTAAATTTGAGGAAGACCATCTCTCTCACTATTCACCGTGGTCTTGTGGCACTATTGGCTCTTGTATAAATGCTATCGACTCAGAGCCCAAGGATGTGATTGCCAATTCCAATGCCGTGTTAATGGTAGGGGTTTTCTGCATGTTCTCTCATTAGTGTGATGATGCTGAAGTGTCTTCTGTTCGGTTAAACCAACCTTTCTAAAAAAAAAGGTCATAGCTTCCATTATTACTGTTTTAAAGTAGTTCTACTCATTTGAAGTTTGGAATATCCTTTCCCAGTTTTGTAAATAGGCAACAATAATGAGAAAGTTACTGGCCAGCTGAGAAATGTGTATAACCTCAAATGAGTCCATGTATCTCCTGTCTCCTGAACATGTAGGATTTGGACAGTGGGGACGTTAAAAGGAGAGTGCATTTATTTGAAACGCAGAGAAGGGCAAAGGAGGAAGATCCTATAATCCCATTCAGCGATGGACCCATCATCTCCAAGTGGGGTGCAATCTCCAGGTCATCCCGCACAGGTTATCACACAACAGATCCAATCCAGGCCACTGCTTCCCAAGGAAGTGCTACTAAGCCCATCAGTGTATCAGGTACACTTACAAGTTCAGGCTTTGTGTGACGAGAATTCGTCATTTATGCACACCTTGAGCATTTCATCCTCTTTGTGCTTACTGCAGCAGTGAAATGCGAAGAGCTAAAGAACGTGTATGTCCTACTGAAGAGCAGAGAAGATAGTGAATGCTCTCTTAATTCTTTTGCAGATTATGTCCCTTATGTCAATGCTGTAGACTCGAGATGGAGTGCCTATGGCTCAGATTCTGCCTCCTCAGCACGTTATGCGGAACGGTACGAACTCCTTCCCAAGCTCTGTTCACAGCTTTTCCTGTAGCTTGCAGCTCTTCAAAGTCCTCTGTGTGTGGGGAATCTGCAATGTCTATTAATAGACATTCTTAATTTCAAAGTAAAAGGCTTTTTTACCTATCCAGCATAAAGCTTGGGAAAAAAACTAGGTTAAAACTTGTGTAATCTTTAATACTTAATGCAGTTAATAGTGCACAATTACTAGCAGTGTATCCCTTGAGAGACCTATCAAAGAACTTGAGTCAGGTACTGCCAAGTTGTCATGTCAAAATCTTGAGTAGTTTCAGGTTTTCTTGCAACTTCTTACCCATAGGTAAGGATGTTTACTTCCTACAATGCCTTGAAGTACTGTGAGCCACAGTGAAGATGAAGAACACATTGTCTAAATCACATGTAGCTTCTGTCCAAAAATTTAACATTGATAGACTAATGAAGTTATGGGATGTTTCATTTAGAGAACTTGCTTTTAATTCCTAGTTTTGCCTTCTTTCTTTTAAAGGGACAGGTTCATAGTTACAGATTTGTCTGGTCACAGAAAGCATTCCAGCACTGGAGATCTACTGAGTATTGAATTACAGCAGGTAAGACCAGTTATTATACCATGAGGGTTTTTTAATTTAAAAGAAATTGTTTAGTAAAGTGCTTTAAAAGAAATTTTCTTGGTGTAGCTGTCTGTGTGCACATGGTTTAGGTGTAGTGTTTGGTAATGGAGCTGTTTCTTTCAGGCCAAAAGCAACTCCTTACTCCTTCAGAGAGAGGCAAACGCACTTGCCATGCAGCAGAAGTGGAATTCTCTAGATGAAGGCAGTCGTCTTACCTTAAACCTTTTAAGCAAGGAAATTGATTTGCGGAATGGTGAGGTAAAGAAAGGGGTAATTGGGATGAAACAAATCTTGGAGGGTGTTTATATAGATATATATTTGTGTGTGTATGTGTGCGTGTAAGTGCATGAGTTTTAACTAAGAGTTGAAACTTGGTTTTAACACTCCCAAATATTTATAGCACATTATGTGCAAGCTAACGCGCTGTTGCACTCAGTTATTTCCCTGAGACTAGGCAGGTGCACCTGCTATGCTGCTGCTCCAAACATACATTTACAAAGTGGAAAGAATGTGACGATCATTTTCATGCAATCATTAGTTTTTGTCTATTTGTATGTGTTACAAATATAAACATTTTGTCAACAGGAAATTCGTCAACTAAATTTCTTTAGTATTCATTTTATCTCTGTTTCAATACTTTATTGTGATTTGATTTAGCCTTGTATCCTATGTCTAAGCCTGAAGTTCATTTTTGTCTGACTAGCTCTCTTGTATTGTAGAAATGTCGTGTGCTAGAAATGCATCTTCTGTTTTCACTTTAGTACTCCAGTGTTGTGTGAAGCCAGTGAAAAGCCAACTTGATATTTAGAGAATATATTAATTCTTTTTTAGACTGATTATCCTGAAGACTGTGCAGACACAAAGCCAGACCGAGACATTGAATTGGAGCTGTCAGCCCTCGATACAGACGAACCTGATGGGCAAGGGGAGCAGATAGAAGTGAGTACAAAACTCTGTGTGCCTAAAGAGGTCACTGGGTCTTTTCATTAGGCTTTATAGATTAGTATGTTGATAGCAAAGCCTTTTGATTTTACTCCTAGTAATGACATCCAGCAGTTCCCTTATTTAGCGCTTGGGGTCTTGTACTTCTCACTCATATACCTGGCAGTTAATACTAGTGAGGTTAAAAACAACTCACAGTTTATACTGCTCTTGTCATTCACAGCCATCTTTGAACAACTGGCTTTTCCTGTAGTGAAATGTGGTAGACATTCTAATAGTATGACATAAAATGAAGGAGTTTTATGACCAGACTACCGTTTCCATTAGCATAATGTAGTGGAACTTAATAGGAAAATGTAAAGCTGATAGAGACAGGGTTGATGGACATTCTCCTTCTCTCTTGTAGGAGATTCTGGACATACAGCTAGGGATTAGCTCCCAAGAGGATCAGCTGCTCAATGGAACAACCGTAGAGAATGGGCATCTGCTAAAGCAGCACCAGAAAGAATCTATGGAACAGAAGAGACAAAGTTTAGGTGAAGACCTTGTGATTCTGTGAGTGTTAGACAAAACAGCAGTGTCTGCCAGAGTTAGACAAACAGAAGCATCAGAATAGTGGAAGCATGGTTGTGTAAGGATGAACTACGTACCTGCTCAGACTTGGATTAGACATCTGCATTGTTTGTACATGGTGGAATGAGAAGAACCTGTTAAGAAATAGAATTAGGCCACAAAGCTGAAAGTCCCAGGCTGGTACCATTGTTTGTATGCATCGTTGTAATCGTACACACTGAAACGTGTCATCACAGCTGTTCAAAATACCTTTCACAGTCAGTAAGCAAAAAATGCAGAATATTTTTATAGTTAACAGAAATTAAGAAAAACTTCAAAGGGTTAAATGGCGGACTGTTTGTACAAATCTCCGTGGAGAGGTAGATTTTGAAATACACTATTTTAGGTTTATATGTTCTGTAGTCTTTAATGAGTAAAGCAGCCTTTGAAAATGAGGCAGACTACTTTAATATCTCGAGCATACCATTCCAGAGGAAGATGTTTAGCCTGTTGCTAAAATGAGTTTGTCAGTATTTATTTAATGCACACAATTCAGTTCCGGATACTTGTGCATGTCCTTGTTTAATATTTGTGTAACTTATTTTTCTCCTCAGGGAGGAGCAGAAAACAATCCTGCCCGTAACTTCTTGCTTCAGTCAGCCGATCACAACATCTGTTAGCAATGCAAGCTGCCTGCCCATCAGCACATCAGTCAGTGTTGGCAGCCTCATTTTGAAAACTGCTCACATTATGTCTGAGGATAAAAATGACTTTTTAAAGCCTGTTGCAAATGGCAGGATGGTTAACAGCTGAAAGGCATTCATCTTTCCAGCTTGTGACCACACCATGGAAGCATTTACACTAGCTTTTTATATATATAATATATATTATATAATGTATATTTTTTTTAAGAAAAATAATATTGGGGTCATGCATTTCCTGTGGACTCTTTGATACTTCAAGCCCCTCTCGCATTAGCATTCTGAAGAAAAAAAAAACTTACTTTAGTAGGGTAAGGCGTTCACTTTCCACAAATGAATGGAATTTGGACATTGTTTTACTTAAGCTTAAAGCAGCTTTTTATGAGTTTGTAGCAATCCGGTGCGGTATCTGAGCCATTCTTGTTGAAAATGGCTTCTGTAGAAAACTAACAACTCAGTTATTTAAACTAGCAGGATCCTACGATGATACATCTAGTGAAAGGAAGACTAACTTATTTGTCTCTATTTTGTTTCACGAGAGAAGAACTTTTGTCTTGTTGCAGCTGCTTTTTCTTTAGTTGTGGAACTTTGCATGGAGTCTTGTTTCCTGTTGGAAGACTGAGAGGTGGAGATTTGGACTTGAGGCTTTTACAGGGTTAACACACCGTTAGCTTTGCACTGCTGTGTTGTTTGCAGGTCTGTGGGGCAGTGCTTTGCTGCAGCTTTTGGTTTCCATTCCCCCCAGTTTATGCTTTAGTACTGTAGATACACACATACACACAGGCTACTTGTCCAAGTGATGTTACCAGAAGTAAATCAAGTGCCTAAGTCCTCCAGCTAATGTGCTAGGTGTTGATTTCCCCAAGATACACATGAAACAATTTTCAACGATATTGAGAGGTTATGCACTAATGTAACAGCAATTTGGGGTTTTTGTCTTATTTTTCTTTTTTTCGTTAATAGTTCTCAACTTGGAGATTATAGGATCCAGATGACTTGGCAAAAAGTATCAGGTGCTCTTGGCTTTCCTTTGAAAACCCTGTATCTAGTGTTTGCACTGACTAACAAGATGGTATTGCTGTTTTTTGTACTGTTTTGTTTTAATTTAAACTAAATATTGGGAATTTAAGGTGGTTGTAATTACCTTTGTTAAATGTTGTTAATCGTAATCTTGTATTCAGGTTTAATTTTTGTTTATTCAGTGGCAACTTATTTTCAAATACCTTGAAAATACAATGAGATAGCATTATCTGACCTTCAGAGTGCTGAAAACTGTATGAATTTATGCCCTGTTAAGAGGTGACTGAGAATCATTTTAGACATGTCGACTGAAAATTGGTTTTCAAAAATACACATGAACTAGAGCCCTGGGCATATGTTTTGAGAAGCTTAAAAATCCACTTTTTTTTTCTGTTAAGAAAGCAGGACTCTCCCTCCTGATGATTACTATCTTCTTGTTTGTCCTCTTACTTTTCTTTGTGACAAGTTTTACATTTTTTTATGTTTTTATTAACTTCTGTGAAGTTGTTTACTCTGAAAATTGTACTGGAATATTTTAAGCCAAGCTGATCTTTCACCAGGTGTACTGCATGTAAGGGCTTTTCCTGCTAGCAAAATGCTTAAAGAGGATCATGTTACTGGTCGTCTGAGTTGTTATTTTACAAAATCACAGCTATGTGGTCGGGTAAGATTTTGATAACTGTTTTGTGCACGCTTCTGGGGGGTGGGGGTTGGCATTTCCCTGAGGGTTACTGATTAGACTAAGTAAATATTGGTGTTTGATATCTCTCCTAACGAACCTGTCCATGAAATAATTATGTTGTAAATATACCTGCAAATCCAAGGGTTAGTTTTGATATTCTGGTGTCAGTATGGAAGATCTTACACATCTATTTAATACTCCAATGTCAAGGAATGTATGTAGAAAAACAGTCAAGTAGTCTTTTCTTAGTGTCCTTTGGCTGTTGCTGTACCTTCTCCAGCCAGTGCCACCTCACTCTAGGGTTAGACTGACGCTTCTTTCACTCGCTACGTGAAGTGAATGGATACAAGAACCAGACCACCTTTGTCACCTTAACTTATTTCCTATTGATGTTAACTTTAACTTAGAATGTTAGACATAAATATGATTGTTGTATATTTTATACCAAGACCATTCTGTAAATATGAATTTATATTACTTTTGAAATGCTTCTGAGATACTATTATTTGCTGTACAATGTAATTCCAAAACAGATATGCAAACAAGTATGTCTCTTTCGTGGATATTTAAACAGTGAGATCTTCCATGTTGAAGGTGATGTAATTTTTTTAAAAGATTTTTAAATTTTAAATTGCTATTTTGTTACAAAAATAGAGAAAATATAAAGGTTTGAGAAGTCCTTATTTGCCCTCAGGGAAAGAGCCCTCTGTGCACCAGAACTCCACAGAACATCTTCAGCATGATCTGAGGGTGAATATATACTACATAAATTGATTGTGTATTTACCTTAACTTTTTAATTTTAAAATGGCAATTTTAAAAACTTGGTTGTGCTCTGCTGGAGGGGGTTGGGATAAGCTGCTTACACACATTTGCCTGTTTGTCCAGTGAAATAAGCCTGGCATACTCCTGCCAAGGTCTTGGCATATTTAAGAACAAGTGTATCTCTAGACTCTTGTCTGCAGCAGGAGGTCCCGTGATAGAGCAGTCCTCTAGGATGACCATACACTTCATATGGAAAGTTGGCTCTCAGCTGAGGCTAGAGTTTTCTAGTTGAATTGTTAACCTATAATGACAGGCAAAAGAATTATTTGAGTGTTTAACAGCATGCCGGCTTTGTCTTACGGTTTTAACGCTGACTGTGTGGCTTTTGCCACCAGATTAATGCCCTCCAGTGCCCTGACAGGGAGAAGAAGCTGCAGGTGACAACACCTGGCTCTGGCTTCCTTCTTTGTTGAAATTTCAGCCCTTGACCCTTTACAAACAAGTATGTATTCATTTGTTAGTTGTAAATCAGGTGCCTTTGGGCTATGGAAGGGCTTATTTTCTGACACTGAGAGAGTGACTTACTTTGTGTGTCAATAGCAGTGATGCCCATTTAGGTTTTGGCCTAATTTATTGTGCTGTCAGAAAAGAAGGCCCAGAGCAGATCGAGGAAAGAGATTGGCTCTTTTGCTTTGCTTGGACAAGCATTTTGGGTTGGTTTGGTTTGGTTAATTTTTTTTTTCCCCATTAGGGGTACAGCAGGGATTTCACATGCAAGAGAGACAGGAATTATTAGTATCTAAGTTAATTGTGTTGCCTCACTACCTGGATTCATTCCTTGGTTTGCCTCATTTCCCACATAGGTTTTAAAAGAGACTAATGCTTGTGCTGGGAGAATGCTTGTGTGAGAAAGTAACTATCTGTACATTCTTAACATATACTTAGAGCAGAGTGATTGCCCTGCTACTGATATTTTGTTCCTGTAAACAGGTGACAAGAAATGAATCTTAGTGTTTATGCAAATTTTGCATTGTAGAATGTATACTAGACCCTTCAAAGGCAAGGTTAGACTCTTTGCAAAGCAAACTGGCGTTGGTTCTTGGTAGTCTAGTACAGGGACACTAAAGTTTGGCATTTGATTTAGGAAAAAGAAAACAGTTGCATACAGCTGATTATGTTAAATAAGCTCTTAATTAAGGTCTTTGTAGAAGTCTAATTTGGAAGGTTTTAGTGCTTTGATAACTCAATTGAAATTTTAATTTCTCCTGTACTCAAGAGCTGAATGCTGTTCTTGTATAATAGTGTACTAGGCTGGATGAGGTACAAAATAATGCACAGTGGTCAGAAACAGCTGAGGAAAGAACGCTTAAAATAACTCAATCTAAACTCAGAATAGTTCCAAACATTGGTTTTGTTTGCTTTTTTAAAGCACAAGTTGTCAAGTTGTACCTGTTGCTGTACATAAACACTGTATGCCAGCAGTTCCTTGATCATATTTGTGAACAGACTTTTCATTATTGGACTGGTATTAAAGGAAGGTGTTGAATTTGAGAGTGTAACAAAATGAGAAATGATCAGATGATCTATAGGATGTAAAAGTCCATTTTTATGTTGTAGTTTAATCCCTTTGTTAGGAAGTTCCCTCTCATTGAGGGACCTCTTCTGCAAGCAGAACACAATAAATGTGCTTTTTTAAATGACCCAATTTCCCAGTATAAATGAACAGCTGACTTTGGCAGTAGTCACCCCCCTGCATCTCTTTGCTGGCAAGGGAGCAGGACAAGGGTGGGGATAAAACCCCAAAACGGTCACTGATGAAATGAACCAAATCTGAATAATCAAAGTGCAAAATGCCCAAACATAATTCTACACCCCATTATTTAAGGATGCTTGTGGAAGCTTTTAATCACTCAAGATTCTGCTGTAAAAGCTGAACTAAAGCAGAGCCTGGCTGCGTTTCTTACTGCCAAAAGCCAAGGTCATTTGCACATAGCCCATGGATTTCTCCAGAGTAGATCTCCGTTACCCAAGGCATGGGAATGCATGCGTTTTCTTAGCTGGGCAAACAAGTACATTATACAGTAGTTGTGATACAACACACGTGGCTTTGATTTGTACTGCACATACCCACTGTACAGCCACTCCGAAGTATTGTGGTTAGCTTGCAGCATCTGCTGTCGCATTGATACTGTTTACTGCGTATTCTTTTCCCTGGAAGTTTTAAAGAAAATTTTTTTTTCTTGTTGCATTGATTACATTTTATAAATTTGCTTAGCTGGAAAGTTTGGGAAAAGAGGCCTGTTTGTCAATTGTACAACCGATTGTGAAGCTCTAGTGTGAATATTTTTACGTCTGTATTAGACATTTTCTTTGCAAATCTATTGTTCGATTGAAATGTAAATGAAATAAAAGATGGTGTACACCCATCATGTATAAAGCAGGCACCATCGCTACGATGGATTTAATGCTCATTTTTATGGCGCATTCTCAGCTTCTATTTAAAACTATAATTTAAAGAAAAAAAAAATCTGTAAAATGAAATGGGGATATATGGGGGAGTAAATTCTATTCCGTTTATTTCGGTTTTGATTCCCAATGGTAATGTTTCCCTTCGTGTTAGAGTAGGGGGGCCCCGGCAGGGCCCGTGTGTCGCTGTAGCACTGACGTGCAGAGGTTGTAGCTTTGGCTGGGCACGGATAGAGCATCCCGGTTCGGTGTTTGAGAGACTCGATGGAAGAAGTTTGCAGTATTGACATGTATTTGCATGCACGAATAAAAATTATTTGTCCACCTTAACGGGCTGTTTGTCGTCCGCGGGGATTGGGGAGGTGCGGAGGGAGCCGGAGCCACAACGGGCGGGGGGGAGCGGGGCCGGGGGCGCGGCCGGGGCCGGTGCCATTCCCTGGGCGGCGGGCCCGCGGTGCCGGTGCCGTTCCCGTTCCCTGGGGGGCGGTCCCGCGGTGCCGGTGCTGTTCCCGTTCCCGGGGCGGAGGTGCCACCGTGCCGTTCCCGTTCCCGTGGCGGGGGCCGCGGGGCCGGGCCCGGCTCCTCCCCCGGCCGCCTCCTTCCCGCCGTGCCCCGCGCAGCGGCCCCGGAAGGCGGCGGGAGCGGTGAGGCGGCGGGGCCGGGCCGGGGCGGCGGGGCCGCTCTCTCCGCTCGGGAAGCGCCGCTCGGGCCGGGGGTCCCGGTCCCCGCAGGATCCCGGGTCGGGGCGCGGCTTCACGGGCGGGACGGGCGCGGGGAGCGGAGCCGGTTCGCCCGGGGCCCGCGGGGATCACCGGCCCCAGGCCCGGCCCCGGTAATCCCGGGCCATCTGGCGCTGTAATCGGCTGAACCGGGGTTAGCTCCCGCGGGACCTGCAGCGTCCGGGAGCCGGGCTGTGTCCCTGGGCAGGAGCACCGGGAGCCGGGCTGTGTCCCTGGGCAGGAGCACCGGGAGCCGGGCTGTGTCCCTGGGCAGGAGCACCGGGAGCCGGGCTGTGTCCCTGGGCAGGAGCACCGGGAGCCGGGCTGTGTCCCTGGGCAGGAGCACCGGGAGCCGGGCTGTGTCCCTGGGCAGGAGCACCGGGAGCCGGGCTGTGTCCCTGGGCAGGAGCACCGGGAGCCGGGCTGTGTCCGTGGGCAGGAGCCGGGCTGTGTCCGTGGGCAGGAGCACCGGGAGCCGGGCTGTGTCCGTGGGCTGGAGCACCGGGAGCCGGGCTGTGTCACACACACGGCCTGGGCTGGCTGGGAGACCCCTGCACTGTCAAGCCTGAGCCCACAGCCACTGATTTTATTACAATTTCTTCTTCCAGGTCTTGGTAGAAGCTTGTCTCTGAAGGACTGGGAAGGAATACAGGTCAGGACACTTTAATTTGCTTAATTACATTGGTAGTTTTTCAGCTCAAATAAATTGTTGCTACATAATGCAAGTAATAGTAGCTGGGAATTGGTCTGATGGAGCTGTCGAATGAGGCTCTGAGGTTTTAAACTGAGTTTTAAATTGTGGCTTAAGAATTTACCCAGGTTTTAAGAACCTTGACTGCATCGAGGGCTGTTTGAGAGTGGGCTGTGTTCTCCTGGGGTTTAAAACTGCCCTGAGGAAATAAAGGAACTTTGTGATGCAGGATTGATCAGAAATGCATCCTGTCTTTTGTTACTTTATTTTTAGAGCATAATGACTACTGCGGATGATAAATTGCTTGGTGAGAAGCTGCAGTATTATTACAGCAGCAGTGAGGGTGAGGATGAAGACAGTGAGAAGGAGGATAAAGAAGGGGAGAGCAGCATTCCTGAAAGTGTGGGTGAGGTGGAGCTCAGCAGCGACGGCAGCGCTGTCAACACAGGTATCATCATATCAGTGTACTTCTTTTGTAAATCCTTTGTTTATTGGACATTTTGTATGTTCTTCTAAAACACATTTTTTTAAATTAAATTCATGTGTTTATGCATATTTAAGTCAGAGGGTGATCACTTCCTGCCTGTTGTCCGACCTTATCTTTAATAGCTGTTCTTTTTTTAATGTTTCACTTCTCCTCTGAGAGAATTCAAATTCAGCATCATATCTGAAGCAGTCAGGCTTTGGATAGAAAGCTGAAACAAGGCTGATTTTTTACAATTTGAGTGATAATATATCATTATTTCTGTTCTGATGAAAGCCATGCTAATAATAGGGGAACTCGTGTGGGCTGGTGGTTCTATTTCAAGAGCACAGATATTAATCTTTGGGACAATTACAAGAGTAGCCTAGTTAAATAAATTGTAGCCTTCTTATTAAAAATTAAAAAAAGTAGAAACTCAAGGACATGCAAATGGCAAATTACTTATTTCAGTGTTTTGCATAGGTACAAAAACGTTTATGACCGGATTGCTGTTTTACTGATTTATAAGTTATTCCTTGATTGTAAATGGTAGGTAAAATTGTATTGTCTGTTTTACACGCCGTGGCTCCACACGTAATGGCAGGTCCCAAGGGAGTGATCAATGACTGGCGCAGATTTAAGCAGCTGGAGACGGAGCAGCGGCAGGAGCAGCGCAGGGAGATGGAGAGGCTCATTAAGAAACTGTCCATGACCTGCAGGTCTCACTTGGATGACGAGGCTGATCAGCAGAAGCAGAAAGAGCTTCAGGAAAAAATCAATGGAAAGGTAGAGTGTCACAAAGAAATTAAAATGCCACTTAAGTATTTAACAGTATTGTTTGCCTGTGATAACAAATAAGTGATTTAGCTGCAATACCAAAGAAGTCCAAAAGCTTTTTCCAGATTTCTCATCTGTTGATCAAATAAGTCAACTTCAGGGGATTAATATGAAGAGTTGTACAGCAAAACTATGAATGCTGCCTCCCCTGCCTGAATCTAGGAGCCCTTATTAATTTAGTATTTAGTAAGTGAGTGTTGAGAATTCAACTCTGAGCTCCAGAAGTTGAAGACATTGGATGAAGTGAATGGTTTTAATCAGCTGGGCTGTTAACTAGCCCTGGGTTGTAGTCAGAGAAATTACTAATTTTCAGATGTATCTGTGCCTTCAGATGATGGAAGTTGGCTGTACTGTCCTGTGTCTTGAGTGATGCAGATAAGCTTAATGAAGCAAGTGAACAGGTATAAAATACATAAAATCCTGTTCATTTCAATTCCATGGGCACAAGAGTGTCACAAATGTTAACTGAAAAACTAAATGAAAAGCTGATGAGAAAGAAGCTCATCTTAGGCTCCAAATCAGCACTCCCAGCTCGGTGAAAGCACGTGGCCACCATTAACCTGGATTAAAGTGGGAGCATGGAGCAGCCACTTGTGTTATTAGTGCAGCTTGTGGAAACTGGAATACCCAGGGCTGAAATCGCTGTTCCCACTGGACATGGTTTCTAATTAGATCAGAATGGAGTGTAATACACAGGGTGCTTGAGCCTTCATGGGTTGCACTTTGCTGTTATTAAAGATGAGTGACCCACATTAATCCTCTTGATTTATGTTCTCATTATGTAAGTGACCCATATAGTGGTGCAGATGTTTTTCAGGAATCTCTGTGTGTTTTTTAGATGACTTTACAGGAATACAACATGATCCACAACGATGAGGACGACGAGGAATTCTTGCAGCGCTACAGGAAGCAGCGGATGGAGGAGATGAGGCAGCAGTTGTACAGTGGGCAGCAATTCAAGCAGGTGTTTGAGATCACCAGTGGGGAAGCATTTCTGGACACCGTGGACAAAGAGCATAAGAGCACACTGATCATGATCCATATTTATGAAGATGATATCCCTGGCACTGAATCCCTAAATGGCTGCATGATCTGCCTGGCTGCTGAGTACCCAACAGTGAAATTCTGCAGAGTGAAGAGTTCACTCATTGGTGCCAGCACACGCTTCACTAACAATGCCCTGCCAGCCCTGCTGGTCTACAAGGCAGGAGAGCTCATTGGCAATTTCGTGCGCATCACTGACCAGCTTGGAGAAGATTTTTTTGCTGTAGACCTGGAGGCTTTTCTGCAGGAGTGTGGTTTGCTGCCAGAAAAAGATCTACTGCTCCTGACTTCTATACATAATCCATCTGCATGCTACAGTGAAGACAGTGATCTGGAAATAGACTGAGCCATTTATGCCAAGGGCCCGTAGGTGTAGTTGTGCTGTGGGATGTTCTTGTGCTAGGGATTGTTCTCTCTCCTCCATGCTGTGGGTATGTATTCCTCCCCTTCATGCACTTTGACTTTTGTAACAACAAATTCCTAACATTTTCTTAAATTAATTCCATATCTACGACTAAAACAGTCTCATTTCCGTGCAATTCAAATATGTTTTACTTAACACAAAGTTCTAACATGATTGTTGCAGTGTCTCAGCGTCCTTGCACGTTTCTATTGAGATGTGGCCACCAACTCCCCAAGACAAGAACTGAGACTGCAAATCAAAGAGTTTTTAACATTCAAGACTTACTAATTTGGTGCTGAACTGCACCAGTTAAAAGTGTGAGGTCCCATGTTCCATCCCACAGTTTGTAGTCTCCTTCCTGGGAGTATCTTGTTCTAACACTTGGCCTTAAATTTTTGTTCCTTTCTCATTTCCAAATAACTACAACCCCAGGCTTCATCCTGAAAATTGCTTTTCAGCTGGAGAGAGTTCTTCTTCCCTTAACCTTCCCTGAGACATTAATGCAATTACAGCTCTTAATATATCCTTGGGTTCTAAAATACCCATCCTTGGAGTTCATAGTAGTCACTTGATCAGAAAATGAGCTCTGCCTCTTCAGAGAGACTGCTGCTACAAAGAGCTCCAACGTGTGTGCTGAGCAGCAGCAAGAATTTTGTTGGCAAAATGCAGAATTAGGACTTGAATAACCTCAGAATTTCATCCCATGCTAAAATTACTAAATCAGTGGTAAAATTCTTTTCTGTCTGCCTTCAGTAGTACTAAGTATACTGTCATTACCTAAATACATGACCCAATGTAATGCCATGTTTAATAATTAAATGGAATTGCAATTTTTATGTAAAGCACTTTGGAACACCAGGAAGAATTGCAAATGTGTCTGTGGATCCTAACAGGATCTCAATAAGAATGGATCTTGGGCTAGAAAAAGAAGAATTTCTAACTGTATCTATTTGAACTGTGTTTTAAAAAGTAGTATGAGCAGAAAAATAAATAATCTGTAATTTAAAATTACTGAGTTGGCACAGATTGTAGCTGTTTTAAGGAAACTGGCAGAAATCCAGGTTTTCAAATGTGGTGAGAGATTATTTCTTTTCATCTGAGAATTGCAGGGAAAAAAAACCTATGTAAGTTATATGGAATTAAATCATTGAGTATGGATATCAGCACATGTAA